CAGCAGAGGACGGTAAAGTTGGTACTCTTCTCAGAGTCCCTGTAGAAGCACGTTTTGCCATGAATCTATGGATTTATCTGGGTGATTACACTGAAGTGTCAATCTGAATGATTAGAGATCAATAACTTTAACATCTGAATCTGGCATGTACGGAATCATCGACCAAATCTGATGAAACAAACTTTTCTTTAAAGTTTCCTTGCACATGCAGTCACACCTTAGGCGAAGGTCTCGACCACATTTCTTTGCCTGGGAAATGGAAGGAGCCGTTTACTGAAGCATGAAGGTACAGCATGAGACAAACACGGAGTAAATAAACTTCTCAAGAAGTCCACAGTCTGAACTCTCCGAGGCAGCTTTCTTTCAGGAGCAGCTCTCCAGCCTTAAAGGACAAAGCTTTTCTTTAGCTTTCAGCCGTCTGTCGATGACGCCACACTGCTTCAGTCACGCTGAGGTTCGGGCTCTGGGGAGCTGATGATGCACTGAACTGACAGTCAGACACTTTCCAGATGTTGCTGCACGCTACAGTCTGATGGTGCTTTGTTCATAATGCCACCAAATTTTAACGAGACGTCCAGACTAAACCCAAACTCTCCTTCATACACGTCGATGGTTCGAGCCAAACATTTGAAATTATCGCCCATCAGACTTGTTAAAAATGTTCTGGTACAAGAACTGAAAATGGAAACCGGGATGCTGTGAGATCCTGGTGCTGACAGGTGTAGCTCAGGCAGAGCAGCTCTGCTGGTTGGAGGGTTGGTGGTTCGATTCCAGGCTGCAGTCATGAACCCAAAGCTGCTGAACGTTAGATGACTGAGGTGTGTATGAGACCATTAATGGAACTGACAGGACTGGTTTTCAGTTACACCTTTATTAGCTGCACACAGACATACAGACATGTTGGATTTCATGACATTAAAACGTGTTCGTACACAATAATTCATCTTTATCTTACAGAATATACACCGCACATTCACCCCACAAACACACAGCGGTGCAGGCTCTGGCCCCGCCCACAACAGGTGATATCAGAGTTTCACCTGAGCTGCTTTCCACTGAGAACACAAACTAACCTGGAATCATTCACAGGTCAGGATCACCTGTGCAGGTAAAGCCGACCGCATGAAGGTGTTAGCGCCGCAGAGGAGGAAGCATTCAGACGACACAGTGATTTTAGCAAAAACAATCAGAAATGAACACATCCTGTTAACGTTTAAGGTGGAGCAGCAGTAACACCACCTTCTCTTAATCCTGGGGCGGGATGCTAGGATGCTAGCATGATTTGCGATGATTTGCGTCCCGTCGGGTCGTCTCCTCGCCAAGGAGACCGGGCTCACACGGTGGAGGGCTTCATCAACGCCTGCTCCCCAAACAGCTGCTTGAAGTGAGCCACGTGCTCCTCGCAGTGCTCACCCGGGTTGAAGGCGGGGCTTCCCCTGAGTCGCTGGTTTCTCTGCTGGAACGACCTAAACACCGTGTAGAACAGCATCTGGTCTCCGGTCTGCTGCGCCGCGTCCAGGAACTTCCGCGCAGACGCGTTGTCGTGGCCACCTGCGCCGGGAGAAACACGTCAGTGCGAGTTTGCGTTAAACACATTCGCGTGCGTGATGATGAACGCACCGACGCTGCGGATGAATCTGAGCGCGCCCAGAACCTGCTGCTTCGACAGCAGAACCTCGATGATCTCGTCGTTGGCCGTGGACAGACGCTGTGAACGCAAACAGGAAGTTTACAGCGATGAACCAATGAAATGACCACGTGAAGCTTCTTTGTTTGTACCTTCAGCATGTCCAGGGACAGCTGGTGTGCGGGCGGGTAGGTGCTCTCCAGAGACAGCAGCAAACACGCCTGAGAGGACAATTCGACAGTGAGACACTGAAACGATGACGTAACGAGCACGGCGAGTGGCGTCGAGCGAGCTGCAGACTCGCGTTTCAGGACGAGCTGCTGGTTTGAACTCACCAGAGGTTTGGAGTCGCTGAGCACGTGGTACTGCAGGAACTGGTGCAGCATGTAGAACAGGTTGTGCTGCACCAGCGTCTTGATCACCAGCTCGTACAGGTAATGCTGGAAAAAACCATCACAGGTGTTACCAGGACGACTCACGACCCCGCCTGCTCGCGCAGCGCTGCTCAGTTACCTGGACGGTGATCTGGAACTGGTTGAGAGAGCGGATGTACTCCATCAGCACGGCGATGACGAACTTGTGGGAGACGCCCTGCGGGACGCACAGAGCAGGAAGTTCATCACATCGCCTGGTTTGAAAACGTTTGGGTGGAAACTCACAGGAGCCGTTGCGGCGTACCTTCCTCTCCGTAAACGAGGACAGGACGTGCGTGTACATGTCCGACTGGTCGATGACGGCCTGAGTTCTGACCGGACGCTTCTGGGCGGCGCTTCCTCGGCTCGGTCCGGACTCCATCGCCTGCAAACGGGGAAAAAAAACCCTGTTAGAAATCAGGTCAGGTGACTTCAGGGAGCAGGAAGCTCCGTGGGCGCCTCACCTGAGTGTAGCTCTGCTCCGCCTCCAGGTAATCTTTGTACACCTGGTTGAGTTTGTCGAACACGGTCGCCACAACAGGAAGACTTCCCTTCTCGCCGACCTCCAGGACTGCAACACAGACAGACGAGTCGCCATTCAGAGGAAATAAAAGCGTGAATGTGCGAACTACAGGTGGAGCCGTTGCCTCAGATTGTGCCTGGTGTTACTGGTTTCACTGGTTTTACATCCCCTCAGTCCTGGCTCAGCTTATTTGATGTTTAAGACATTTTTTACGGAGCATCAAAGCAGAAACGTCGACCCAGAGGAGCAGCTGGTTCTCTTCATAACCAGAGCGCCGTCTCATCATCAGCTTTGATCTCTGATCAGAGTCTAAAGACGAGCGGCGGTTAGATACGCACTCTGCGAGCAGACCGACAGGATGACCATCTTGCACTCTCTGCGCCGTAACAGGAAGTCCATCAGTTTGCCTTTGTCCTGCAGCAGGTTGACCGTGGGCGGCAGCTTCACCTGCAGGTACCACAGGTAACCTGGAACAGCAGAGATGATGCTTTTAGTCCGTTTAACTTCACAGAATTATTGTTCGACTGCGAGAAAATTAAATCTCTCCGATAAAACAGGATTTTAGAGGTTTTATGTTGTGAAACAGGCTTTTCCATCATGAAACCTGTTTCCAGGTCGGCTCTACTGCGTTTGCTCACCTTCGCTGGCGCTGATGATGATGTCCGGCTGGAAGACGCTCCAGGAGGAGGAGTCTGGAGTGACGCTGAGGAAAAGAAACGCCTGAGACTGACAGCGAATCAAACGTTTACTGTGAGCAAAGGATACAGAGCTGACACGGCACCGGAGGCTGCGAAGGAACGGCCGCCGGCCCTGCAGGGAAGACGAGAGGACGTGAAGAAGAAGCACAGCAGAGCTCAGGTCACTGCTGGGCGTCACCTTCATGACTAACTAACAGCATCGTCGATAAACAGCAGAGGTCCTGAGTCAGAGCCAACCTCACGCTCCGGATTCTGATCCAAGCTTTCGATGCGTCAGTTCTGTTTCTCAGCTACTTAAAGACGCAGACGCAGGTTCGATTCTGTGTTTTCTCACAGGTGCCTGTAACTCCTCTGCTGTTCATCACACATTTCCTGTTCAACTAATTCATTTCATCTGTTTAAAGCTGAACGTTCGATCACATCGTGCCTTCGTCGGTAGGTTTCGTGCGTACCTGCCAGCGGGATCCTGTAGGGGTGGATGGACCTGGCCGGCAGGACGGGCTGGTGGATGTTCAGGGCGCAGTCGGGCTCCTTCAGCTTGATGTCGAAGATCAG